CAATCCAGTTTCTCTACCCAATTCTGCTTCTGTTCCTTCTTTTTCACTGGCGTTAATCTCAAAAGCACTTCTTAATAAGTATGCTACATATCCTATCCTAATCACCATCTCAGAGTCTGCTTTTTTTGGCAACCAAACCAGCCATACCTGCCAATAACCTTCCTTGGAAGCTTATGCAAGCTGCTAGACAAGCTCAGTAATCAGCGAAACTTCAGAAGCTATGATTGGGTTACAAATGGATTATTCCACAATTTATTTACTCTCAGGTCATCACCCAAAGACATTTTCAAAAATTTATGCTGATCTTTTGAAAGTACGTTTTCTCCAGTTCCTACACATAGAAAGATCCTGATCCTGATTTACACATGGACAGAAGATCCTGATCCTGATTCATACGTGGACTTCTGTCCATGTGTAAATCTCAGCTTAGCAGCCAAAAATCAAAATGGAAATTCTTGCTAGACAAAAGGTAGGGAACGCCAAAAATCAGGAGTAAGGATCAAACAAAAATGAAGTTTTTATTAAACAACCTGCAAATAGCAAACAGATCCCAAAATATTTGAGCAGACTTCACCACAAGATATTGTATGACCACAGAAACACAGGCCACTGAAACACAGGGCACGGACATGTGATCTGTCCCTGGTAGTAGTTCTGCCTCTTGACTTCTGAGTAGACAGAGAAAGTTGCAGGGTCCCTCCTTTCTCTCTCACTCCCTGGTCTTCTCTGCAATTTTCTTTCTCCAAGGCAGAGGCTTGGGAAATCCAAAAGATCTGGATGCCATTCTAGACTCATCACATACTAGTTACGTGAACTTAAACAAGTTATTAACGTCTCTGAGTCTCATTTTCCTTATCCAAGAAATGAGAGATAAAGAAAACTTCTGCAGTGCAGTTGGCAGAAATGAAAGCATTAATGAATATCACTTACGGAGCCATGCAGAGCATGCCACAGAACAGCACTTAACATTCTCCCCTTAGCTGCACACTGGAATTAACTGGGGAGCTTCAAAAAATACTGAAGCCTGGAGGGCACTCCCTAAAGAGTCTGCTATCATCAATTTGGGGTGCTGAAACATCAGAAAGGTTTAAAGCTCTCCAGGTGATTCCAAAGTGCAGCCAAGACTGGTAACTATTGTTCTATGCAGAGTATTTTATTTAAGCAAGATACTACCCTAGGAGTTCAGTCCAATTATTCCCCTTCACCCTCCTTCCCTCATTTCTACAGATAAGGGGATTAAGGTTTAGAAAAGTTAGAAGATTATGCAAGGGTACAGAGCTAGCAAGGGACAAAGCTGAGATTTAAGTTCACACAGTATGACTCCCAAGACCTAACACATCATGGCCACACTGCTACGCTACCACTCCATGTCCTAAATGTGAAGAAACATCTAGCATGGTCTCTAGCATGCAGAACATGCTCCAAATTTGAGAGCTAAGTTTGTCATTTTTTAGCATCCTTCCTCTCCCTTCCTTGCTCTTCACAATCCCCAGCCCCAAATATCACTTGGAGTTCAGTAGAAGTAAGCAATGGATAAGATTTAGAAGCATAGTCAGGATGGATCCAGAAAAAAAAATATTCTTTTTTCCCTCTTTTCTCCTTCCTAAATCCTCACCATAAGCATACATTTGTTGTATTAGTCTGTTCTCATGCTCAGAGACATATATATAAAGACATATCTGAGACCAGGTAATTTATAAAGGAAAGAGGTTTAATTGACTCATAGTTCCACATGGTTGGGGAGGCCTCACAATAACGGCAGAAGGAAAATGAGGAGCACAGTCATGTCTTACATGGCAGCAGGCAAGAGAGAACTTTTGTAGAAGAACTCCCCTTTATAAAACCATCAGATGTTGTAAGACTTATTCACCATCACAGAACAGCACAGGAAAGACCTGCCCCCATTATTCAATTACGTTTCACCAGTTACCTCCCATGACAAATGGGAATCATGGGAGCTACAATTCAAGATGAGATGTGGGTGGGGACACAGCTAACCCATATCACTTGTTTTACATTTAAAGTCTTTTAAAATAATTATTACAGGTACAATATTGAAAATATCAGAATCCAAGGAGACATTTTTCTACCATTCCTTCTCACGTGTAAGTGAATGCTTTCATTTGCCTCCATGAGCTTCTGAGCCTTGTCCATGAGCATCTATGATTTTTATGTTTACATTGCCATAATGTAATTATATATTAAAAATTGTCATCCACATGATGTCATTTCTTTTTTCAGAAGATCTGTCCTATAACCCAATTAAGCAGTCTGGTACAGCTCTGCAGATAATGGAGGTAATTTTACCATTAACTTAGCCTAAAATAATGCCATTAAAGGTTTCCCTCTTAAGCAAAAAAAAAATAGCCTGGTTACTCTGAAAGCTAATATAAAAATGTATAAGCCTGTAGAGGTCACACAACATGACGTTTGCCTTTCCATATCTGCTGTATGCCCTTCAGTGCCCACACGCCTCATCCCTCTCACCCCCACACTTGGCACGGAGTAGGAACTCAAAAAATATTTGATGCATGAACAAATGACCCGTTTCTTGGCTGTATAGTGAAATTATAAAATAGGATTTCTCAGAAGCTGGCACAGAAGACTCCAAAGTTAGACCTGAGAACAGGGCAGGGTGAACACTGGCAAAGCAGGCAAGAAAGGCAACAGGAAATCCCATGGCAAAGGACAGCTACACTGTCCGAGAGGAAACGTGTGGTTTCCTGAATTGCACTTGTTCAAAACCTTCAGGCTTAAAGCCTATGTAAACCTTGTCAAGGACCCACAGCTGGCCCAACAGTCATACTTTGGGGTTGTTTTCTTTAAAAGTTATTTATAGTCTTAGGGTTCCTAGGAGAAATAGGGAGTTGGAAGCCACTGTAGCATGAAAATAAAGCTGCAAGGAATTGAAGTAGATATGCTTCAGAAGAACAACTCATGCAATATTCTTAGATGAAGGATTCTTAAGCTAGTGTCCATTGGGTCTCCTCTTGGTACCATAGAGGGACTTCAGGAAATGGTGAATGGCCTGAGATTGATGGGGAGAGAGAGAGAGAGAGAATATGAATATGTATGTGTGTGTGTGTGTGTGTGTGTATGTTTGTGTGTGTGTGTGTCTGTCTGTCTGTCTGTGGAGGAGACCACAGCTTTCAGCAAATCCTCAGGTCTTTTGATTATGGGGCTGCTCTTCCTTTCACTTCATTAAGTCAGGTGGGGCTCTTCTAAACCCATCTTTATGTGCTAGGGGCTAGAGGTGGGGATGAGAGAGAGCAAGTAGAAGACAGGGGAACTAACTCTATATAAAACCTTCTACTGAGTCAATATAAGTAAAAGGCTTAGAGAGTGTCCAATCTGCATCAGGACCAATAAATATTAGCTCTTTTTATTATTATTATTGCACTATGCCAAAGCACTTCATGTTTTCTCAAACTCACAACAACCCCATGAGTTCAACATAAGTCCCATATTCCATTAGGTTGAACAACCAACCCAGGGTCACACAGCAAGTGGTGAAGTTCAGAACTCTCTAATTCCAAAGCTTAGATTCTTCCTCTCCATGCTGTGGCCGGAATTACTGGCCAAGCTTTCAGTCTGGAGGCAGCTTCTCTGTCTGCCCTTCAGGTTTTCACATCTAAAGCCCAAGGATCTCGCTCTTTCTGAGTCTGTCCATCAGAACAGGCAGGAGGCCTAAAAATGAGCCCCTTCAAGCCAAGGCACAGTCTACTTGCTTACATAACATAACCTTAGTCATCCCACTCAGGTTCCACACTCAAAGCCAATTTCTCTTCCAGGGCATCCAGTGCTAGTTACAGAAATAAAATCGCATTTATCATAATTAACTCCCTTGCCTTTCTGACACATTCAAGTCAAAGACCAAAAGGGAATAATTTTTTTCTAGAGGTCACAAATCAGAGCAGTGAGAAAGCTCTACACCAAATCTACCATTTTCTGATTTCAAAATCCATGCTAAAGACTGCAGTTAAATATCAGCTACCAAAACACCCTTCCGTCACACGAGAATCATGGCGACTGCATGTATTGAGCACTTTCTATGTACCTGCACTTTATGTGTGATTTCTATGCCTCAAAAGAGCCAAGCAGGCCAGACAGATGTTACTGCTTGGGTGGCTAAGCAAGTCCCATAGAGTCACACATGCAGTGAAAAGCAGAACCTGGACTCCAGCCCAGGCCGGTCTGATGATACCAACAGTGTTGCTAACCATGCTCTTCCCACAAGCTCTCTACAGTCACTGTGATTCACAGTACCCAGGACCAACACTGGCTCTCGGCTTTCCCGCAAACCACTTCCCTGAAACCTGGGGCAATTTCTTGGGAGGAGGAGCCATGAAAAAAGGACAGAGGGACTCCAAAATAGAATACTGGGTGAGAGTCCCAGCTCCGCTACTTCGCTAGCTCTGTCACCACGGGCAGATCACTTAACCTTCCAAGGCCTCAGTTTCCTCACCTATGCAATGGAGATGACCGTCAATGCCCCACAATGCGCTGATCTAGAAGAGATGAGAAGAGGAGATAAGGTTTAGGGGCTTCCCAAACGTGAATTATCATTACCCTTCCTTAACTCGCTAATTCAAGACAGGTGGAAGTCCTTTCTCAGCCTCCTCTCTTTGCTCATCTTCAGAGCTCTTGGCCACCTCCAGAGTTCCACCACTGGCACCCTTCGCACTGCCCTCCTCCCAGGTGGCTGCTGCTTAATTTCCCGTCCATTTCAGTAGTTCTTCTCTTTCCTCGCTGTAAGGACCGGTGTGGGCTGTTCCGAATTCTGGCTGTTTTCCTTCTGTCCTTCCGCCTCAGCACCAGGGTCTTTCTCTACTGAGAGCGCAGCGCTTCAGGGCCGAGCTCTTTACTGGTCTGCTCTGCGCTCCGCAATGCCAGCGCCAGGCTCGCACCCTGCAGAACGTCCCGCCTCTCGAAGAGGGGTGTGACCGGCGAGTTTAGATAGGAGGTGCCTGCTGTGGGGTACACCCCGCCGCCCTCGGAGCTTTCCCTGCGGCGCAGCCTCTCCGCCAGAGCCGCGGGCCTTCGGAGCAGCCGGGGGCTTCTCAGCACCCGGGCGCCAGGGCCCTCGCCCTTGCCCTTCCGCAGCCTTGACTCCAGCCCTCCGCTCCCGCAAGTCATGAGGTTGCCCTTCTACCGCTGCCAGAACACCACCTCGGTGGAAAAGGGCAACTCGGCGACGATGAGCGGGGTGCTCTTCAGCACCGGCCTCCTGGGCAACCTGCTGGCCCTGGGGCTGCTGGCGCGCTCTGGGCTGGGGTGGTGCCCACCGCGTCCACCGCGCCCGCCGCCCTCGGTCTTCTACGTGCTGGTGTGCGGCCTGACGGTCACCGACTTGCTGGGCAAGTGCCTCCTGAGCCCCGTGGTGCTGGCTGCCTACGCTCAGAACAGGAGCCTGCGGGTGCTTGAGCCTGCATTGGACAACTCGCTGTGCCAAGCCTTCGCCTTCTTCATGTCCTTCTTTGGGCTCTCCTCGACACTGCAACTCCTGGCCATGGCACTGGAGTGCTGGCTCTCCCTAGGGCACCCCTTCTTCTACCAACAGCACATCACCCTGCGCCGGGGAGCGCTGGTGGCCCCGGTGGTGAGCGCCTTCTGCCTGGCTTTCTGCGCTCTACCTTTCGTGGGCTTCGGGAAGTTCGTGCAGTACTGCCCCGGGACCTGGTGCTTTATCCAGATGGTCCACGAGGAGGGCTCACTGTCGGTGCTGGGCTACTCCGTGCTCTACTCCAGCCTCATGGCGCTGCTGGTCCTTGCTACCGTGATGTGCAACCTGGGCGCCATGCGCAACCTCTACGAAATGCACCGGCGGCTGCAGCGGCACCCGCGCTCCTGCACCAGGGACCGCACCAAGCCCCATGCCAACGGGAGGGAAGCGTCCCCGCAGCCCCTGGAGGAGCTGGATCACCTCCTGCTGCTGGCGCTCATGACCGTGCTCTTCACTATGTGTTCCCTGCCCGTAATTGTGAGTCCCGGGCCCGAGGCAGCAGGGAGCTGGGACTGTCTGGCGGTGGATGCGGGGCAGGGTGGAGTGAGCGGGATGGACGCGGCGTCAGGGGAGCTGCGCTCTGGGCCAGGAAAGTTTGTTGTTGAGTTCCCCAAATTGGATTTCCTCCACAGCCCCAAGATATAACTCAGTTTGTGGAGCAAAATGAAGTTAAAGAAAGGAAGGGAAAGACAGCCCGACCGTGTCTCCTAGGAGCTTAGCAAAACCCTCTCCATGTGGCAGAACTCCCTCCTCTCTGCTTCCTTCTGGGGAGATCTCGGGATCATTTTTGATCCTTAGGAGGAGCAGAACTTAGTTTCTCCTTGGCAATAGAAGCCCTCTACTTCCCGACGGCTGGGTGATGTTTTATTTTGTTAGACTCGCTCATGACTTCAGTGGTATCAGAAATGGGTGAATGGCGTCTTGGGGAGGGGGTCTTCTTCGCGGTGTTGGCATAGAAAGGGAAAATGAAGTTTAATCTCGCCAGAGTGATTTGCAGATGCATAGTTTTAATTTTTAAAAACGCCTGCGTAAACTTTTGAGGCGCCACGGCTGCTGTTTCTGGTGCTGCATCCGCCAGGGATTGTGGTGATGGAGGCCGAGGCTCTTTGTATGTTTTAGTTGCTGGTGTCGTTTTGATAACCTGTCTTGACGGGTTTTGATGTATCTTGGCAAGTGAGGTGACATGAAAGCCGTCGGGTTTCAATTTAGTAATTAGGATGGCAGTGGAGATTGAATTATCTCGTCGTTTTGAAGGCATTTGTTCCTGGAGCCCCCGCCAAGACATCTGGGAGTAGGTGAGGCTTGAAGAAATTTTTCAGTGTTTCTCCTCTCCTTTTTCCCACCCCCAAGGTACCTGTTGAACAAAAACAACACTTAAAGAAATTCCATTGCCAATCCCATGTTCTCGAAATCCTGAGACTTCTGTCAATAGGAAAGTTGTTCAATTTCTTCTCAGAGTGTAGCAATTTTGTATATTACTCTCAATGGTGAATAAAAGGGAAATACAAGGTGATTTTTCCTTTAAATGACAGCCTGTGTGTGGGAAAAGGAATCTTGAGCATCAGCCTGCAGGGGTGGGAACAGTATGCCCCCAAAATAAACAAATACATAAATCTATATCTATCTAAATCTATCTAAATATAGATATAGGCATAGATGACATATAGCAGTGTTTTTCAAACTTTAACATGCTCAGAATCACCATCAAGGCATCTAGAAAAACAGATGGCTGGACCCCATTCCTCAGAGTTTCTGATTCAGACATTTTTAAAGAATTTTCATTCTTAACAATTTCCCAGGTGATATGCAAGCTCTGATTCAGGGATCACATTTGTAGAATGGCACTCTGAAAACAGGAGTTGGCAAACCACAGCTCACAGGCCACAGCTATCCTGGCCACTGTTTCATATCTCCCTGGAGTTAGGAATAATTCTTAGAAATGAATCTCTGCAATCAATTTGATAAGGCCCAAGAACTTTGAGCTTCAATTGAGCCATACTATTCCAAGAAAAATACTGTTCCAAGAAAGCATTTTATTCTTCTTTTTAGTAGATATATTACCAAAAAGAGTACTCAATTATTAATACATTTTGAATTCCATCAATAATAAATTGTGTAAATGTGTTTTCTCCCATGTTATATTAGTACCTATCAAATATTTATGATCTTTCCTCTTGGCCCATAAAACCTAAAATGGTTACTATCTGATTCTTTATAAAATCTTTTAGGGGCTCCTATTTTAAAGTTGGGACCTCACTTATCTAGATGCTCTGATAAAACAGACAGTAACCAAACGCATGGAAAAATTTTGACCTGAGTTTGAATGTTTTAGTCAGATCAATGCAGAAAGCAACATCATACAACGGAAAGAACATTGCATTTGGAAATGTCCCTAAAGAGACTTGGATAACTCATAGGGTGTTGTGAGGATTGAAGGAAATGGAATTGAAAATGATTTTCTAAAAAACTTGTAAAGTTCAAATATATTTAATGTTGACAGCATTCTTCACAAGAACCACCATTTTCTAGAAAGGATAAGGGCTTCAGCATCAGACATGAGTTTGAATCAGACTTTATCACTTACTAGCTATGGAAGTGGCTAATTTACCCTTTCTGACCTCAGTTTCCTCATCTGTAAAATGATTTTAACCATACTTGTTCTGTAAGATTGTTATGCAGATTTGAAATTATTTGCAGAATATATACATTCATCACCTAAACCAGTGCCTTGCCTCAATAATTAGCAGCATTCTTACCATGATTTATAACTTCCATGTACTATTGTTGCCTACTACACATTAAAAAAAATCAAGAAATATTATCTTCTTGGGAGATAGTGCTATATCTAGGGTAGTGGCTCTAAAACTTTATTTTGGTCTAAGGACACCTTTATACTCTTAAAATTATTAATGACCCAGACAGCTGTTGTTTATGTGGATTAAATCTATCAGTATTTCTTATATTAGAAAATAAAACTAAGAAATTCTAAAAATATGACTGCAAAACAAGATAAAATGTATCTCTTGTGTTTTTCCATAGGTATAAGGAAAATGTGGGGATTTCAAAATGATCTAATGAATGATAGTAAGGTTACAGACATTATAGAAAGTAAAATGGGGGCCGGGCGCGGTGGCTCAAGCCTGTAATCCCAGCACTTTGGGAGGCCGAGGCGGGTGGATCACGAGGTCAAGAGATCGAGACCATCCTGGTCAACGTGGTGAAACCCCGTCTCTACTAAAACTACAAAAAATTAGCTGGGCATGGTGGCACGTGCCTGTAATCCCAGCTACTCAGGAGGCTGAGGCAGGAGAATTGCCTGAACCTAGGAGG